AAAAAAAATTTTTTTTTTTCATTTTCCTAATACTTGATATAATCAATAATAATAATGATACTTTAACATTTTAAAGAATAAAAAAAAATGAAAATTAATTAATTTATTTTTATAATTTAAAAAAAAAACCATTATTATTATTATTTATTATTAAATTATTTAAATTTAAATTATTATATTTTAGTTAAAAAAAACTTTTTCTTTTTAAATAGTAATAGAAATAATAATAATAATAGTAGTAGTAGTAGTGATAGTGAAAGTAATTAAAAGGCAAGGCAAAAAAAAATTTTTTTTGTTTTTTGTTTTTTTTTGGAGGGGGGGGAATTTTTTTTGTTGAAATTTTATGGCTCCGGTTAGTCGCCATTTTCTTTTTTTTCGTTGTTTTCATTTCGCATAAAAAGTTGGCAAAAAAAAAGAAAAAACGAAGGAGACGTCGTAATTTATGTTGTTATTGAAATTATGTAATTTTTCATGCAAAAAAAAAAAAAATTTTTTTTCTTTTTTATTTACGAGGTAGAAAATTTTTTTTAAAATAAATTTTAATTTATTTCACTTTAATTATTTTATTTATTAAGTAAATAAATAAATAAATAAAAAAGTTGTATTTTAAGTAAAATAATTAATTATGTAAAAAAAAAAAAAAAATATATCAACTGATAATGTTGGTAATAACGAAAATTGTTTTTTTTTTTAAATTTAACATGACAAAGAAAAATTTATTTTTTTCTTCCCCTCCCTCCCCCGCCTCCCAAAAAAAATTTCACTTTCGAAATGAATTTTTTTAAAGCCCCCCTCCCTTCCCCCATCATTATTATTATCATTAATTTAATGATTACGTTATGAGATAAACTTTGTCGTCCATTATTAGTATCGACTTTACATTATTGTATGTTTTTTCAATTTATTAATTTATTTATGCGTGTGTGTGTGCGTGCGTAAAAGAGAGAGAGAGAGTGAGAGAGTGAGAGAGAGAGAGAACGAACGGCGGTTTGAAAATTGTGAGAAATTTTTAATCCTTAAAGATTTATTTTAGGTTTGTTGAAAAGCTTTTAAGCTTACTTGAATTCTAACGTATACTTTATGTATACATATATATTTACACATTTAGATGGTAAATTCGATTTTATTAAATAAATATTACTATTATTATTATTATCAATAAAATGATTATTCTTATGTATGGCTTTTATTTATTTTTCTATGTACGATTTAATAAATTTCTATAAAATATTCGATTGTTGTTGCTCTTTCTAGAATTTTTTTTGCGAGATTTACTGCCTTGTTATTTTCTCAAATGGCTGCGAATTAAGAATTGAGAAAAGGTTGTTTATAAAAAGGTTTAAAGTCACGTGACTTTATCAATTTTCTATTTTTTTTTAAATAAAAGTGAAAATTTTCACACGTTAATTTAATTAATGTAAATATATTAATGGCGTCCGTCGTCCAGTCAATATTGAAAAACGGGAAATTCAATAATCAATTTCCGCGTCGAAGTTTTCCCTAACGAACAAATATAATAATAATAATAATAATAATTATTATTATTATTATTATTATTATTATTATTATTATTTTAATATGTAAATAAAAGTCTACCTTAAAAAAAAATTTTTTCTTTATTTTTTTTCGAGGGTTATTAAACAAAAAAAAATTTCCATTTAGTTTCCTTTTACATTCGCGTTACCATTGGGTATTTAAGTAAATTACATAAAAACCTTTTGACTCGTTAATAACATTTTATTTATTT